TGCGTGCGGAATCCTCTCCGTCGCCGTTCACGACGACCACTAACCAGGGCCGCACCGACGATGTGGACGGCGTACTCAGGTTCAGCCACGACGCAAGACGCTGGGCGACGACCTCTACGCCGCCGATGTCGTCGGCAAAGAAACACACAGCATCAGCAAACGGGAGAAGCATGCGATTGTAGATATGATCGCCAGCTTCTACCGTCGTGGGCGGCATGGTAGACGGCATGGTGGACGGCATGGTGGACGGCATGGTGGACGGCATGGTGGACGAGGTGTTTCCACCGTGAGAGATCGACAGTGGCCTTGCTACGACTTCATGGCAGAGCGTGGATTTCCTCGGCCTCCCGAGCCGCTTATGGGGCGGAACGTCGGCATCGGCAATCAGCGTCGGCCTTGCGCCAGACGCGCCGACAGGAGCCTTGTTAAGATGGATCTCGCCGTGGCCCCGGGTTGTGTTGGGCCTGGTGATGTCCACACCGAGTCTTTGCAGGGCAACCCGCTTGGCCGCGTTTCCAATCATCACGAGGATACTCGGGTATTGGCTATCCGGGCGTGGCAGACTGTCCAGCAGTCTCTGGGCACGATCCGAGCTTTCGACGAAGTACGCCTGGTCTTTGGTGGCCACGCGCAGCCAGCCAGTGTGTTTACAACGGGTCATGTTGCGCACTGGATGAGGGTCGTCAGCTGCACCGGGCAGACGAGGCGCGTGTCTGTCTTATAGGCGGTGGCAGAGAGCAACCTGAAAGCCAAAATGGGCGGGGTGAGTAGACTCTAGGCCCGATACCATGAATAAATCTATGCTCGTCTGCGATCCCTTCTCAATGCTCTAAAGCCATTTTCGTCCTATTATTCGTTCAAAGTCAAACTTAGGTCCAGCTAGCTTATACAGAGGGAGCGAGTTGTGTACATGGAGTGCAGGAGCCGGTTCAGTAGGCGGGCCAACAGTGTCCGCTCGGGCAGCGGCTCCTTACTCTGTGTCCCACGCCTGCTCCTGGATTACGCTGACACAGCTTTCTCGAAACACTCC